ACAGAGCTGCTTCATGGAAGAAGAACCTCAGCTTAGCCTGTTAGTTTTTGCGCTAGCGCCGACGATAAATAGCCTTATATGTATTAGCTCAGCGCTAGAGCAATAAACAAGCTAAACTGAGGTCCTCCATCCATGTTTTCAGTTGCGGACTGAGTCATTTTTGTGTTCCCCTCTCTGTCATGTTGATGGAGGAGGACCTCAGTGACAAGAGGAGAATAGGTAGCGCTGAGCTAATACATATATATGGTGATAGCATCGGGGCTAACGCTACACTTTTATTCTTATTTTATTCTTATACGATCAAAATAACAAACTACTTAGTCAGGTTTAGGTAAGCATCATGATTTGGGGTTAAAAGACACTTTTGTAATATCAAAAGCTTCTATCCTACAACTTGTCAATGTACAGTAAGTTTGCCTACAGGCTGGCTAAAAAGTGAATGGCATGTAAAAATATAAATAAAAATGAAAATAGAGCTGTTTCTTTGAGACCGAATGCCAGGGAGTCTGAATGTCTCAGCTTCCTGCTGAAAGATGCTCTTTCTGAGTCATTAAACCCGACAGAGTTTTAACTTCATTTGTTGAGGGGTGCAGTATTCTTTGAGCTGGTATTTCTCCAGTAGAGATTTACTGGCAGGACTGCACAGTGAAGCAGCTGTTTAGTACTGTTGTCTCACAGCAGGTCGCAGGTTCAAAACCCATTCAGTGTAAAGTTTACATGTTCTCCCAAAATGTTTGTGGGTTTTTTTTCCTTGGTACTCCCAGTTTCCCTCCACAGTCTAAAACCAATCAGGTGGGATTATTTGGCCATTTTAAATTGGTTCAAGGTGTGAGTATGTACGTGTCTCCCTGTGTGTGGCCCTTTGGTGGAGAGGCACCAGCACTCGATGACCCTTAACAGAAAAAGCAGGTGTAAAAATTGTATAGATAGATTAAGCAGTATAGACTTCATAAAATTATTATGCTTTTTGGTATTTAGGAATTAACGTAGACTTTTTCTTAAAAGTGGTTTATATCATGAATTTAAAAAGCATTTAGTCAGCGGTGTGAAATTACGACATAATTATTATCCCAGGATGTAGTATTTAGCCATAAGTGCAGTAATTTTGTAATAATGTTCATTCTGGACACTGTATCCTGTCTCGTCACAAAGCGTATGAAGCTAATGTCCTCTGTCCTTACTCACAAGGTCTTTTGGTCCGATTCAGGCCACACAGTTGCCACCAGTGAAAGGCGATCTCCTTCCTGCGGTCCGAGGCAGCATGTGTAAATCACTGCCATCGCTTTCCCACATTAGCGCAGTGCCAGCTGACCAGTATGGAACCAGTCCTGTCATCTAAGATGGATTGATCTTCCTCTTTCATCAGTTAGCATCATACAAGGGGACACTGTTGTTAGTGTTGATAAGGATTAAGAAGCTTGTTCTACAACAGAAGATTTACCAGTGACCACCAACTGTTCAGCTCCCCACTACATTAGACATCCAATCATCCGTGGACATTTTAATGGCATCTCATCAATCTCCCACAGCACTGCTGGGGACCATGACATTGACTATAATGGTGGTGGAACAGTGTTCCTCCTTTCTGCTGTCTCCAGACTCAAAGAGTCACACCTGCTTTTCCGTGGGGCCAACAGAGCAGCTGGAGGAGCAGCACTTTCACCTCTTGCAACTCAACCAGGCTGTTGTGTTTGTTATTCAAGCTGCACATATAGATGTGCTCAGGTCTTATGTTGTGATGAAGTTTGTCTAAAGGGTGTTACGGAAGGTTGAGTGCTGCACTAGTTTATAATATATATTTTAAGGTATTCTGTAATTCTAACTTTGTTCTGACCTAGGGCTGGGTGATACAATGGTAACAATATATCTCATGATAGACACACGATCAGTATCAAGGTGTTCAATAGAGCGTCGATAATTTCACTTGTGAAATTTAAGAAATTTACGAAATTTACATAGGGAAATAGACATTACGGATGGACCAGGACTGAAGATTGTGACAACACAAAACTACCCACTCCTCTAGCCAAACCAGCACAATTTATTCTTTATGTGTCTTCCTCTGGCTTCATAAAATAATTGCAGTCGGCCCCACGCTGCTTCCGAAGTTTATGGAATTTTACAAAGGAAAGTAAGTTACGGACCAGGACGGCTACTGAAGCTACTCAGCAGCTAAAGCTGGGCCAAGCAAGGTTGGTGGTATCAACTAACTCACTTGCTGGTAAGCTAACAACAATCCGTTGAGGAACTGCCAAAAAATAAACAAAGAAAAGGACGTGGAGTGAAGAGAAATTAGTGGAATAGTTTTGAAAGGGTCTGGATCAAAGAGAATTGGTCCCGACTGGTTTGGCATTATTAATCAGCCTTTTCTTCTTCTGGTCTTTGTTTTAAATAAGTAAAACAACAAACTAATCTATAATTATTGATATTGACTAATATGAAACACTTATACATTTTTCAGCCATATCGCCCTGGAGCATTATGTAAGAGAAGATCCACCGTCCATTTACATATTTCTCAATTTAATGAGGAAAAACGGGTTCTTTTTCATGAGAGACCGATATCTCTCCAGAAAGAAAGTGAGAAAACAGACTCAACAAATTGTATTTCCAGTCAGCTCAATTTTCTAAAATAAAAATTATTTATTTACAGAAGAAATGAACTAACTTTATATACAACTTAAGGTTAACTACCAGTACTTTATGAGATAAAATATTAACAACAAACACGTCGCGTCCGACGTGATAATATAACACTGTTCGGTTTTTTTAACCTAGGAACTCAGAGAAACAACAGAAACCCCGGCCGAACATTAATCAATGACAACAGAGACCAGTAAGATTTATAGATTCACTTTGCAAAGGAGAAGTTCAATGATACTTAACTCAGCTCAAAAGCTTGGTGAAGATCAGAGAAATTCTGACCTCTGGGGGCGTGAACAGTCGTTTTATTCACACATGTAGGAATGAAGTCACACAAAGGCTACGTTCACACTGCAGGCAAATCCGACCCAAATCCGATTTTTTTGACCCATCTGACTC